CAAACATAAAGTCCCAACGAAGTACGTCGGGCTCATTAACGACATGTACAACAATGTTGTGACTAGTGTTCGAACTAAGTGATGGAAACACGGATGACTTTTCGATTATGATGGGAGTACATCAAGGGTAAGCTTTGAGCCATTATCTATTTGTCTTAGTGATGGATGAGGTCACAAGGGACATACAAGGGGACACCCCTTGGTGTATGCTTTTTATGGACGATATAGTGCTAGTTGATGAAAGTCGGACATGAGTGAATCAGAAACTGGAGTTATGGCGGGAGATTTTGAAGTCCAAAGGTTTTAGACTCAGTAGAACTAAAACTGAGTATATGAGATGTGACTTCGGCACTACTACTCGGGAGGAGAAAGATATTAGTTTGGAAGGTCAAGTAGGGCCTAGGAATGATACCTTTCGATATTTAGGATCAATGCTACAGAGAGACGGGGATATTGATGAAGATGTTAGCCATAGAATCAAAGCAGGGTGGATGAAGTGGCGCCAAGCATCTGGTGTCATATGTGACAAAAGGATACCACAGAAGTTAAAAGACAAGTTTTATAGGACGGCGATTAGACCTGCTATGTTGTATGGTGCAGAATGTTGGCCTACGAAAAGACGACATGTTCAACAGATAAGTGTCGCGGAAATGCGTATGTTGCGTTGGATTTGCGGACATACAAGAAGGGATCGAGTTCGGAACGATGATATACGTGATAGGTTAGGGGTAGCACCAATTGAAGAAAAGCTTGTTCAACACCGGTTGAGATGGTTTGGACATGTCCAACGGAGACCTCCAGAGGCACCGGTGCGTAGTGGAATCCTAAGCTAGGATAGTAACGTGAAGAGAGGCAGAGGAAGACCGAAGTTGACTTGGGTAGAGGCAATAAAAGGAGACTTGAAATGATGGAATATACCCAAAGACTTAGCCTTAGATAGGAGTGCTTGGAAAACAACTATTCACGTGCCTGAACCTTGATTGCTTCTGCTGGGTTTCAACTCTAGCCTACCCCAACTTGTTTGGGACTTAAAGGCTTTGTTGTTGTTGTTGTTGTTGATATTTCATACTAACTTTATGCAAAACCAGGTAACAGTTCCCGCATTGGCTTCAGTTTACAATGAAAAGGCTCTTAAAAGCCAGTTTGATACCAGTATTTACCTTCAGGTATGTGTCCATTTGGTTAGTTTTCTTGGCCTGGCATTCTATTCTAAGCTATCTTGCTAATGCTTTTATGATCTGTGTGAAGCTACCATTTGAGCGTGATTTTTATCTCATGGTTTCAGAACTTGTTTCTATATGGTTATGGTGCGATATTTAACTTTCTTGGGCTTGTGATCACTGCCATCATCCAAGGTAATTATTGAGAATGCATGTCTACTTGAAAGCAATGTGCTTATTGGCTATTGCATAGAGCATAGTTTAATGTAAAGTCGTTTTAAAATGTTCTATTGAGTTGAGCAAAGTTGTCAATTACTCAAGGCTATATAAATACTAATTTTTTTAGATAAATAAAAAAAAATACTAGTAGGTTTTCGATGTCATCATTTTTTTTTGGGTAGGTTATTTTGGTTTGTCCTTGTAACTTTGTGTTTTTCATGATTTAGAGATTACCCTTACAACTTGATCTGATGTATTGGCTCGGTAAATATAATATCTAGAAGATAAGGCATCCGATTCTTAGATATCTAAACTAAACTTTAACTGGTAACCTTTGACTCAGGATATCAAAATTCTGTTGAAACTGTTGCCCACATATTTTCTCACGTGATTAAGTACTTTGATGGTTCTGTAAGAAATCAGTTGTCCTGTACATTTTACAGGGCCCAGTAGCTTTAACATTCTGGAAGGACACTCAAAAGCGACAATGTTTCTTATCTGCAACAATGCTGCACAGGGCATACTGTCATCATTTTTCTTCAAGTATGCAGGTATATTATCGTCAAAGAGAAAAAACATTAGTTCTTATTGAATATGTTCTTTAAATGGCACTGTATATATCACATACAGGGATCTCTGAAAACTTGTTATGTTGCATGGATGTACCCATAAAAGATTACCTTGCATGGGCATGCATCATGGACATTTATTAGGAGGTAAAACTGTAAAAGATTGCACATTTATTAGTGGTTGGTCAAATATCCTGTTTGTGCCACGCATGCTTATCTCTGTGGCAGTTCTGCTTTTTTTTGGTTTGTAATATGGATGGTATTCTTCTTCTTAGTATAAAGGTGTTCAGTTCTTGTGCATATCTGAAGAAAAAAAATTGTACATGTACATGAATAAGCTAAATCAGTACATTTCCGTGTTGGTTGCTACACGTATGTAGTAGTTTTTGCATGTGGACTACATTTATCTTTAAGCAAATCAATGGTGAATGCAGATACAATTTTGAAGAAGTACTCATCGACAATTGCTACTATCTTCACTGGAGTAGCTTCTGCTGTATTGTTTGGCCACACACTGACGATTAATTTTGTTCTTGGAATTTCAATAGTAATCGTATCTATGCATCAGGTAACTTGCTTTTCCCCTTGCATTGATTCAATAGTGTTGAAGTTTTTCTACTACTAAAATTTATTTTATTTATTCTTTTTAAGTATCTTTCTAACCAAATTAAGGACGAAGTGCCTAGCAACAAAGTTGAAATGGCTGAAGCCCACGATCACAGGTTTGTCATATCATATTGTCGATTATACTGTAGTTGTGCTTGCTCCTGCACCGGGTCGGGTCTATAGTCTGTCACTTTGACTAAAATATTAAGTTTGGTTAAGTCCTCCAAATGAGTTCATTTGCCTCGTTCACATAGGTCCTTTCCATGAGGGCCAAAGTGAACCCAATGACTTGTGTAGGCTTTTTTGTTTATATCCATGCGGTCGATGTTAGAGTGGACTGCACTAACCAAATGAACCCAAAAGCTTAAGCCGTTGGGACGAGGTAGGAAATCCACCTATACACTTCAACACCCCCACTCACGTGCAGCCAGAGACGAAGGCGCAAACGTGAGCCCATGTGCAGCCAGAGATGAAGGCGCAAACGTGGAAATAAAAGGGGTGGAGGCAGAAATGAAGCCTCTGCCAGGACTCGAACTCGAGACCTCTGGCTTTGATACCATGTTAGGATTGAATGGACACTACATTCAGTAGAAGGGGCTGAAGCCCAATATGATGTGTACATGTACAATAGCAGAAAGGCCCTTATACATATGGGAATATACAAACACACACATATCTCTAACAGTCGGAACAAGATATATAGAAGGGATAAAGATGACAATTCCTACTTTCATAGTTTGATCAGGTAGCTGATGTCGTGGTGCTGATCACATGGTTTGCCTCCTCTTTGGTGGCCGTATGTTGGTCAGCGTGGTATGTAGTAGCGGTTCCTCGGTAGTCTGTCCATTTCGAAGTAGCATCTTTATCTTTTAGGTACATCCAAGGCAAGCCTTTAAAGTCTTGTGCTCAGGTGCTCCTTTTAGAGTAGTTTGTGCTTTGGGTAAGGTTTTCACACCCTTTCCATACCATGAAAATTAGATATTTGGAACAGTTCTTGAGGTCCATTCTGTCATCTACCACCATCGGGTGGCATTTCTTGTTTTCCAAAAACTTGGTGTAGTGCATCTTATTGCATTTAATGGACTTTCATGTTTGTTAACAACATATATTTTTTATGATGCTCAGCAGAAAGGAACGTAGTTATGTCAATGTGCCTGATTCAGTGGCAAGTGAGGTAAATAACTACTGCCTAGAATTTCAGGTGGTTTGTTTCATACTTCTTCATAACTAATGGTCATTCTACATGAAGGCTAAACACCGCCATGGATCTGACGAGAGGCATCCACTTCTTCCTGTATGATTTTGTAGAAGAGGTGGTTCTCCCCTTGCTTTCTACTGTGGTAGATTGTACTCCCGTTCCAAATTATAGTTCACTTTGGCTTTTCCTAAATCAAGTTTCTATCTTTGACCATGCGTATAGAAAAATGCACCAATATTTAAAACATCAAATTAGTTTTGTTAAATTCTCCAAAGATTTTTTTCTTGAACATGCATGAGAGTTGTGTATCTGTGTTAAGAGGAAAACAAAAGGACGTTTTGATAGTGTATTTATTTGTACTTTTATATATTAATATATTTTTATAAAAACTTAGTCAAAGTTAGAGTAGTTTGACTTAGTACAAAGCCAAAATGAACTATAATTTCGAATGGAGGAAATAATTGCCGATTGCTACAAAGATGTGTGCTATCCTTTTAACAAGTGCACAACATCCATAACATCTCTGAATTAAACTCTTCCATTTCTGACAGCAGGCGCACTGTTTCTTCAACAGAGCAGCATGTACCTTGACTATCTTACAACATGGCTCCTCCATGACACAGAGAAAAAGAGTATTTTTTAGCAGATTTGACCTAATTGTCTCTAAAGCCACATTGCTGCCATGCTGTTGGCGGAGTAGAGGATATATGCATATTCGGCGGCAGAGTGACGAGCTTGGTGAAGTAGATTATAATAGAGTAATGGTCTTTGGATGGATGAGCCGATACTTCTAGCCAGTGGGTGGTAAAACTAATGTGGTAAGAATAGTGAGGAATAAAGTCACTACCATTTTTTTTTTCTCTTGTAAGTTGATACAGCCATCAGCCGTGGTTCTATGAGTGTCATTTTATTTGCGGCACCAATGTAAATATCAGTTCGTTTCTGATGGTGCGTGCCAACCAGAGATTTCATTCCTGTATTTGCGAGTTGCATGAGAGATACTGTGACGTGTTTACTGATTACTGAGCTTTGCATGTCTTTTGAATTACAGCGAAACGACTAATTGCTACGTTTTTTTTTGCTTTGCGCGTCTTTCGATTCACAGCGGAATGAATTACCGTTACAGTATTTGCTTCGAGCATATATGAATCACTGGGTGATTCCATTACTGTTTGACACCAAAAGAAGGGTTTTCTACAATTCCGCATCTTTGCAATACAGTTTCAATGTTGATCACTGAATATTTCACTAGTCCTTGATACTGGCATCTCCAGAGAGGTGAATATGAACATTGTTGACATGCTGTAGAACCGCAGATGCAAAGTTGTTACTGCAGTACTAAAGACGTCCTCCGTGCAGTTAGTGATTTAAATCTGAGAGGTGAATCAATCAAATGTCCGTAGTATCCAAGCTGTTGCCTCTCATATTTGCAACCTAATAGACGTTGCAAAGGAGACTGAACTGTATGTCCAAATCAAATACAACTTCATGGTTAACAAATATGATGAGTGAGATAGGAAAAGGGACTCGATGAACTTACTTAGGTTAATTCTGTACATCAACTGTCAACAACAGGTGGTGGAGTCTGTTTTGTTACTAGTAGTGGAGACAAAGCCTTGACCACAATGCCCATATTTGGGCGGAATTCAGCTTCATATTGCACGCACAAAGCCGCTACAGCAGCGAGCTTGAGTAGACAAAAACAGAGATTAGAAAAATGTGGATAGAGAAAATAGGCCACTAGCTGCCCCAAGCTTATGCATACAGCACGTGTAGAGAGAGTATGGGGAACCTTGGCAAGTCCTTTTGCTGGATATTCACCCATCAACCGTGGATCTACACACTGCTTCACCTTGTCTTCAGTTAACCTTGGTGTAGCCTGCAGAATCAGAAGAAGGCATTATCAGAGAACTAGTGAGAACAATGTTATCATCATATCAAACTTTTAAAATCATATGAGGCGCTGTTTTATTCTTCATTGTGTTTTGAGGGCACACAATGTGCAGTATGATGATCTGGTAGATTCTTTCAGATAGCAAAGAACTGCAGCCTATGCAGCAGATAAACTCCTTTGAAATAACTAGTGTTGTGCTGAAGTCACTTTTGAGGAGCCTGAGAACTTCAGGTCCAGCAGTGGTTCACTCTCCATAGATCACAGCTAGAATATTCTCACAGTTAAGGGCTGTTCATGAATCATGAGTGCCTAGACTCCTTATTCTTAATATAATAATCATACACAGCTCTCCTGTATGTACGAGAGGAAAAAAAAGGGTCTGTTCTGTTGGAAAGCGATTGGATCCACTAACTCTGAACACATGTCTGATACTTCAGATTTCCTCTCTATTCTACTAAGATATTTGATACATGATGTTCAAGTTCATCATCATCGCATTTATTGCCACTCAAAAACCATTGATAAAAACTCTGGCTTTGGGATTAACAGAAGACATTATTATCTAGTTGATGAATACCCACATGATACCATACACACAAACCATAAATGATACAGGTTTAGCTTGGACCCTCTGGCACTAAATTAACTTGTTAAGAAACACCATTACAAACGTATACAATTTGTTGCTTCTCTATTGTAGACACTACTAATTAGATATAAATTCACATCTAACTGCAAAAAGAAAAAAAAGAAGGAGAAAGTTAGCAAGTGAACATACCCAAGTTACCAGGCTTTGCTGGCCTCTAGGCATTGTATGGTCTACTGGCTTTCTACCTGTCAAAAGCTCCAAAAGAACTACGCCAAAGCTATATACGTCACTTTTCTGGGTTAGTTGACTAGTCATTGCATACCTGCAGAATCAAACCTCAAGTCAAATTGTAGACTGATCAGACAACAGCGTTACTTCAATCAAGAATCTAAAAAACAATGCCTATTATCAAATTAGTTGCTGCTAGCTGGAGAGTATCAGATTGTAGCTTGCTCGTAGTTCAGGAAGTAATTGGCTGGTAGCAGCAAAAAATAGAACAAAAGATTCAAGATTGCCATGGACTGAGCTGTAATGTTAATTTTTTTCCTAATCTATTAGTGCTATGTAAAAATAATCTCATTTTTCCCTATGGAATGAGGTAAAGATTTAAGCAAGAATGTGAAACTCGGTGGCCTGCCGCCCAGTCTGTCTCAAGAACAGTCATGGAGTAGTCACTTGGCGCAAGGGATCCATACCATACTTTCGGGAACTGGACAGGTTGCACTATTAGCTCCAAGCAAGTGGTTTTCATATAACTTTCTGGGATAGAACTACAGCAAAACGAAATAGCTAACGTGGTCCACAGGTGGTCTTCATATACTTGGCAAAATGTGGCTTGCTATCCAATGGACAAAGGCTAAATGCTAAAGAAATTAAACTATTCATGTGAAGTGCCTGAAAGTTGGAAAGCTACAATATTAAGGATATGATTGATTTCTAATGTGTTCCTTTATGTCCTAGAAACAGCTTATCTACAAATATATGAAACAAATCTTCAACTTTAGAAATAACAAGGCATAATTTTTGAAAATTAATCAGACAACTTAGAAATAAACACCACCCAGCTTGCTGATATACTAAAATATTAATCAGACAACACATGCAAAAGTAGAAAGCACAACTGAAGTTAAGCAACATATTACAAAATATAGTTACTTTAAGAAAAGGATTTTTACTCTGGGGCATGATATCCGAAGGTTCCCAAGACACGAGTTGAATGCAACCGGGCAGCCATATCTGGTGCTTGATTTGAGAGATTAAAGTTTGCTATCGTTGCCTTGAAGTCTTCAAACAAGAGGATATTACTTGATCTAATATCCCTATGGATAATGGAAGGCTGAACTTTCTCATGAAGATATTCAAGTCCTTTTGCAGCACCAACAGCAATTTGCACTCGCTGCATCCAATCAAGCGCTGGGCCCGGTTGAGCACCTTGAACTCCTTTTCTTCCTATTGACATGAATTCAAAAACGAAATTGCAAATTATCAGTTGAAGCTACAGTATTCAATTAAGTGTGGAGTTGTGCAACAAATTGCAGAGGATATGCAAAATCATACCATGTAGAACGTCATGCAGAGAACCCATGGTGGCGAATTCATAGGCTACTATGCGAAGATTACGCTCCGTACAGTACCCCAACATGTCAACAAAGTTTTCATGTTTCAACCTTGAAACCAATGAAACCTAGCATCAGAAGTAAGCATCATTTTTCGATTAGGAACCCATAACACATTAGCACTACTAAATAACAAAAGAGAAACCCCCATGATTAATAATCAATGACAACACCAACCTGGGTCAAGAATTCGGTAGTGGGTTCATTTTCAGTAGAATCAAGTTTCTTTACTGCCATTTTTGTTCCATTATCAAGAATCGCATAGTACACTCTCCCATAAGAACCTTCACATATCAAAGCTGTTGAACCAAAGTCATCGGTCTTTTCTATTAGTTCATCCAAGGATAGAACAGGGATATTGATAGGGGGAGCAGCATTGTGCGGCTCGACTTTTCCAGTAGCAGAATCTTTCAACCCCTTGGTCACCCCTGAAGAAAAGGATACAATGACAACAAATTCTCTGTAGATGTTAGAAAAGGGAATTTCAAAAACAGCAGCACGAAGATGGTTCACATTTTCAGTAACTGGCAGCAAGTTAAGAATATAGGAGCAGATGATCCAAGTACACTTAAACGAACATACCATCAATGTCGTTGGTTGTGGCCTTGACATGATCATTTTCACGCTGATCAGATTCATCCACTTGGCAATTGCAGCAACAGCGGCGCCACATTGCTACCTCTTAATCTAATTTACACCTATTCTGCAAACCAGAAATATGTCATCAGGAGAACACATTTACCACTGCAGACATTTGGACATCATGCATCACGTATGTTAACGCAGACAATACTGAAGAGAAGCCTGTCGTGCCAGTACAGTGCATACTATAGCTTGTCTCTAGCAACTTCAAAACGTGGGATGGTCAACTTCAATCAAATTCTAGATTCAGGTTAAAAAGGTCAGCAATAGCAATACACAGCACAAACGGGATGCACATAACCATTTTCGACTAAAAATCCAGGCCACAAAAATCACCTCAGACAAATTCCCTACAAAAGTCACCTTAGAAAATCACCACAGATAAACCTCTACTGCTCTAGAGCCAGCAGCCACGCACCCACATACTCCTACATCATTTCGCCGCGCACCTCAGATGCAGCTCGCCGCACACAGCCTGGAGGCCGCAGTCCCGCACGATCACTCACCTCGACCGCAACCAAATTCCCAAGCGCACAGAACGGTTTTTGTGACGCCGGAGTGCCGGACAAGCTGGTAGAGCGTCCGGTTCCGGTACGTACAGCCGGCGAGGGAAGGAGTGGAACGGCCGCGTGGGCCCCACACGCAGATGCGCTTGGCTGATAAGTCATGACTAAAAATACTGTTGACTGATTTGTTATGAGAGAAAAATATTATTGGTTGGAAGCGCACAGAACGGTAGCCTCCGTGTCAGTTGCACGGCTGCAGTTTGGCCGTGCCAGAGAGGACGTTTTGTTTTGTTTTGTTTTGTTTTTCTGTTGGGTATCGCTGGTTCTCAAAATGTCAGTTTCAGATTTTGCTACTTTTTTTTTCATGTGTTCTCAATTTAACCTGATGCGAACTACAATGTTTTTATGCCCTTTTTTCTTTACACAAAAGAATTTTGTCCTAGTGATGTTTTCAGCTGTCGACACTTCAGAAGATTGTGTGATTGCTGTATCTGCGAGATGTGAGATGGATGATGTCGGGTTGCCCGTGTTGGTTTAACTTTTACCTCGTTCGCTTGGCTTATAAGCCGTATTTTTTCAGCCAACGAATAGTACTTTTCTCTCCAACAAATCAGCCAACGGTACTTTCAGCCATGGCTTATCAGCCAAACGAACGAGACCTCATTTGGAGCGGATTGGACCTCGTTTTGTTTACTCGGTCTATTCAAATCTTTTGGATCGAGCAAGTATAGAATTAACAGTAGGGGTTTCTGAGCATTTTCTCATCGCCCGCATCGTTTGAAGATTCACACGGTGCCTGCTGGAGCACCAGTCACAATGAGTAATTCTAACTGGGGATCAAACAAAGATAGCGAGGCTCCATTTGGAACATATACGGAAACTGCTAAAGTGAGCATCGCCTCCACGCGGCAATAATAACTGACATTATGAAAATTATGATAATGCCTACTGTATAAGAAAATCATGGCCATACTCGATCTGCACATTCACTTCGCTTGTACAACACCCCAAACAAACGTCCCGCTTTCGGCACCCCAGTCTGATGTCTGAACCGGGAAAGTTGGAAGGACAAGGACACCAGGTGAAATTTGGCCTCCCCTGTACCCCGTACAGATTACTCGTATGCAGTACAAGCTGTAGATTGCTTAGCGACCAAACAAAGGTAGACTCAAACAGAAAGTGCAACACAACGTCTCCTGCATGTGCTGATGTGCAAGTACAACACAGCTCACAAAATACAAATGTACAGGCAATGGAATTACCAAAAAAAAAAGTACAGTCAATGTAGGCATATATATCTACAGAGTCGAGATCGCATGGTTACAGCTGCACAGCTAGTCGTCAGAGCTTGAGAAATCAAGCTACATATTGGAGCTAAGAAATGGCATCCATCCAGTGGAGTCGTCAGTGACTCGAATATATTGGACTGGTCATATATGTAGATCTGCAATTCTGAATCCCTCACTGTAGGATAGCCAATAGCCTTGTACCCTTCATCTGTATAGGTAATAACATTTTGTTTCTCGAACACCTGAACAGGTAACAACATCCCCGTCGCCTGTATACGCTTCGTCTGTACATGTAGTGATATCTTTTTAAGACAAAAGACGTACTGACAGGTAGTAAGGTGGCAGGCCACCTCGAAACATGAGAGGAGCTAGAACCTGTCGTCATGAACATGAAGAGCCTGCTTATCTCGGTTCTTGCTACTTGCTAGTACTCACTTTAGCTCCCTGGGAGTGGGAGGGAATTGTCCACAATGAGAAGCTTCTCAGGATCCAGAGGTCCATTTTCAGTGTCAACAACTCGGCTATGCCATTGTAGACGGTCGGCATCCTTCTTGACTTTGAGAACAACATCAGCTCTGTCCCGAACTATAACGGCACCCCCTGGCCGGAGAATGCGATCCATCTCAACAAGGATGTCGATAATCCCACATCTGAGAATAGCTTCGTGTCAAGATGGATAGCTGATCTAGGATTTAATTTAACTGCAAGGGATTATTATGTACTACTTGAATTGTTCATTTGCTTCGTGAGAAGCAGTCTATGCCTTTGTTGTTCTTTTTCAGAGGCTTAAACAGGGCAAGGTTAGAAGGGTCACTTACTTGTGAATATGGGAGCTGAAGATTCCATTACCATGTATCAGATCATATGTTCGTGGATAAGTAGAGAAGGCTTCACACCTGAAAATATATTAACAAGCAACATGGAGAATTATTTCGTATATCTGACTGTATAGTTTGGAAAGAACAAATTATTTGAAGAAAAAAAAAGGTTTCATTAACATTACCAGTCAGTGTATGTTCCAATCAAACCGCGCTCATAGATGACACCAAGAGTATTCTCTGTTGTATTTGCAGGAACCACATTCATGACCCAAACAGGATGCTTGGACATAGCAGCAGCAAAGCCACCAAAACCAGCACTCATGTCCATGACATTTCTGAAAGTTCCATTAGACAAATATTTTAGATATGTTAGATAGAAGTTTACTCTTTTCTCCCAAATCAAAGTGTCATGTTTATATCTCTGAATGGACAACCACTTCATTTCCCCACTCGCTATCCTTGGTGGCACTGCACCAAGTCTTTTAGGCCATTTTTCCATGGCACCACCAGCACAGCCATTAAAAGGTTCAGCTCTTGGAATACATGTCATACACATTGAAATATTTGCATACCTACAACCATAACAAAAGTTATATTTAGCAAGACTGTAATGTTGGAAGAATTCGATAAATGAAACTTTGATGCAAGGGCCTGTTTGGAACGAAGGAATAAAAAACATAGGAATGGAATGAAACACAGGAAACAGACAGGAATGCAGTGACAAAACAGAGGAAAGGAAAAACACAGGAATTTCATAGAAGTGGGTGTTTGGAACACAGGAAACAAAGAGTATATATCAAAGCTTCACTAATGTATTAGATGCTACTAAACAAGTAGCTGCAAGGTGCATGCATGGTTCTACTCCCACAGATGACGCACGATGTGTCTTAATGAGTGAGTTTCCCTCGGACTTCGCAAAGGGAAAGAAACCATGAGGTTGAAGTGGATTTTAAATTTCCTCCAAAACGTACAGGTATAGGAATCTTTCCTTTGAAAAGGAATCAATGAATCCTTTGTTCCAAACACATCTACAGTAGCTAAAACTACAGGAATGCCAATTCCTTTGAAATTCCCGTGATCCAAACGCAGAGGGCGCGTTTGGTGGAGCTCGTGCCGGCTCCGGCTCTGCCACTGTGCGGGTACTGTGGCGGAGCCGGCGGAGCACCACAAACGTAGCTCCGGCAGCTCCTTCTCAATCCACGTTCATTTGTATAGGAGCCGGAGCTGTTTTTTTAGCCACTACAGTGATCTACAGGGTTGCACAGTCGCTGCATGGAGGAGCCGGAGCCCCGGAGAGCCGAGCCAAACACGGCCTAAATATTAGATTATTCCATGGCTCGACAAGTGTTTTCCCCCAGTTCGGCAGCAAGTTCCTTGGAATACACTGGTGCACCTTTATTGTAGTATTGTGCTCATATTACTTTGAACTATCCATACTGTGAACTCTCCTAAAATGTTCCTTGTACTATATTTGACTAAATAAACTTGACAGCTGCACATGACATTAACCCATTCAGAACAGAACATAGGTAGAAGATGATATAGTTTTAGAATAAGTTCATACTGCAAGGCCTTTAGAATAAACAACGAATACAACTTACTAACTTTCATCAGTGTCAGATTAGCAACCACAAAATCAAATTAAATACGTTTATTTATCCAGCTAAACTATTGTGTGCATTGTCATATCGCAAGGATAACATGAACGAAAAAAAAAGGATTTGTGCCGTGGTTGATAAGACAACAACATTTCAGGATGCCGTGGTTTTTTCTTAAGCCGGCGCAGAGCCTCTGCGCTAGGCTGCGCCACTCGCGCATGTAATGCTGATGACTGATTTCTCTATCCTTCTTATTAATGAAACGCCGGGTAACTGGGTCTTTAAAAAAAATTCAGGATGAGTGTTATCCTTTTACAAATTTACACAACTTCTAAGTGGAACAGGATAGCTGAAGCTAAAATTTGCAAATGTTTCGTTGCAATTGACTGGAGATGCAGAGTGACAAGGAGGCTATTATAAACTTACCAGGCACTATCTGGGTCTTCTCCTGTACAGAGTGGTGGCAATCCTAATCGCTTTGCATTTGCTTCTTGGTCACAGTGGAGATGACAAGAAGGTTTTCTCCAAACAGAAATTGTGCCATCTTCAGACACCTTGGTCCAATGAAGCTTATTCAACATATCATCCATAGCTAACTGATTGTCCTGCATGTCTCTCGTCGCTTCATTCGAAATGTTGTATGTCGATTTCCAGTTGACAGGTGGCCTAGAGAAAACCCAATAGCCACCAGGTTGGAGAAGACGGTCAATTTCCAGCATATAGAGCCCATCTGGAATCAGCTATAGGTGAATGAGAACAATAGCACTCGACCAAAAAAAGCTGTACTTTAGTACTGACATCGACATATGAGGTGTTCTGTTCAGTGTTCACTGACTCCAGCATTTGCCAGTAGGAAATCAGTCACTTTAATTTGAAGAAATTAGTAATCAGTGAAATAATTAACTAGATACAGCGAATAGATGATGCATCAGGAAGTATGTTTGGTCAGGATTCAGGAATAGCATGATGTCTTGCATGTCCTACCATGAGCAGTCCATGGAACAAGGCAGTCCGCACAGTGCACCATGTCGAAGGACCTCGATGGATATGGTAGCCTGTGAGCAACAAGCGCTCCGATCATTGCAGGCAGTCCACGCTCCAAGGCGAGCTGCACTTGTGGTCCAAGTCTATTCCTCGGAGCAATGGACATGGTGAGTATGCCATAGTTGAGCAGATAGTCACCAAAGCTCGCAACCTGCAGTGACACACATCGGCACGTGAGCAGGGAGGAACATGACAATTACATCGATCTCGACAAGGGATGGCAATCAACTATTAAAACTTTTATGCGAGTACACACCCCACACCCGAAGTCGAGCGCCGTGCGCACCACGCCGCCACGGAGCGGCACGACGCGCTCCAGCTGCTCGACATAATCCCGCACCCCCTCGGTGAACACCAGCCACTCCCCGCGACGGCGAACGGGGTCCTGCTCCTGTCCACCCGCCACCTTAACAGGGGGCACCAGCGGGAGGTCCACGTTGGCGTACCTCGCGCGGTCGCGGCGCGCGGGCCAGGGCGGGGGCGGGCGGTACCCGGGCGGCGGAGGGACGCGGCAGTGCGGCGGAGGCGGCGGCGGGTGCGGCGGCGGGTCCTTTGGCGGGTGGTGAGGAGGAGGAGGCGGCGGCGGGCGTGGAGGGCAGTGGCGCTCGCCCGAGGGAGGCTCGTGGCAGGGGACGTCGTGGGTGGCGTTGGGCGGGCACGGGGGAACGGGCGGCGGCGGGGGGTGGGGGTGGTGGTCGGGGCCGGGGTGATCGGGCGCGGGCGCCGGGGCCAGAGCCGCGGTGGTGGAGGCGCTGGCGGAAGGGGGAAGCTGCGGCGACGAGGAGGACGCCGCGTGGTGGGAGTTGGAGACGACGGCGGAGATGAGGAGCAGGGACGCGGTTGCCGCCGCGACGGCCGCGGCCGCGAGGGAGAGCGCCCGCGGCAGTGCCTTGAGCACGGCCGGCGTCGACGGCACCGAGAGCGGCATGGCCCCCGCGAGGCCGCGAGCCAAGTCCGCGTATCGCGCAGTACGCCGCGCAGGGCGCAACGGCGGGTGCGGGCGTACGGTGGAGTGGTGGAGGATCGGATGCTCCGGCTCCGAGTGATGAGTGCGGCGGGAGTGGTGGCGCCGTGTTGGTATTTGAAGAGGCAGGGGCAGAGCAGAGGAGACAGCCAGACAGGACAGGAGAGCGGTTGCTGCCGCGCGGGCCCGGCCGTTGGTGCTTCGTGGGGCCTGCGCCAGCCGTGGCTCGTGCTCGTTCGCTTTACCGTATTTCGTCTGGTGCGCTCTCGTCGCTTCGACTCGTGTGGATGTTTGTTCAGAGAAGAGATTCTGCACATGCGAAATCGCGATGGCCTAACTGATTTTGTTTTTCATCCGTGCAATGCCGTACAAGCGTACAGCATCTCGTATGGTCCTTCAGAAAGACCGTAGACTACGTATTACTACTACAGTCCAAACTCCAAACTGAAAAGCGGCCGGCCTGTAGACGTACACAAGCAGGGTCAATGTCAGTGAATCAATGTTGTAGAAAAAAATGTCAGTGAATCAAGGCTCTGATCGACAGGAATTTGCTTAATTTGTCAGCACTTAAAAGTACAATTATTATTAGTACTCCTATAAAATGTATATATTTGCACTTGCAAGGTTTCGAATTATTCCGACAATGGTAGTATTAATCTCAACGAGTCGTACGGGTAGGACGACAGCCAATTTTGCAGCTAACGCGCAACACACCACGAGTCCAAAGGAGGCCGTGGCAGGTCGTACAGTACAACCCCACCGTAGGACTGCACGAACCCATGTACCCAACACATCTTTTACCAGGATCCAGGAGGAGGATCTCGGCTGCCGTCGTACGTTACGTTTACGTACAACTGCATCTGTCCGTGCTCCCTTCACCGCAACGATCTCGCGCGTCGTTCTCGACGAACGGCGGCGACTCGTCATGATCGTAGCCGTAGCGTCGCTGGCTTGCAACTTTGCAAAGCAACACAGGACCGCGCGGACCGCGGACCCGTCGCGGCGGGCGCAGTAACGGCTCGTCGTCGTCGTCGGGACACTTTCTACCCGTATCTTGCAAGCTACGTACGAGAGCGATCAGACGCGACGGATCGGTCCGCCGAGCCCGTGCCGTGTGTGTGGCCGGCGTCTCTCGCGCCGGAGACTTGCGCGCGCAGGGCGGCGACGGCGACGGCGCGCTCTCGATTTGACAACGCAATCTAGCTACCCGCCACTTTTTTCTCCGCGCCGCGTCACCTTCTCGCCGTACGGTCAAAAGGAAACGACGAGGAGGGGAGGTTTCCCTCCATGATCTGATCTTTCCTAGCCTGCCGCCTGCACATCTGCTGTACACTGTCCTGTAGAGTGCGTTTTCTTTCTCCAGGCTCCGAATCTGCTTTTCTCGCCTCTCGCCTCTCGTTTGGCTCGACAAGGAAGAGGAAGAGTCGCTTGAGATGGCGCCAAGGGACCCCGCGTCAGCTTTGACGGGACCAATCCGGGCGTAGAGATGTGCGGCCGCGCGTGCGCGTCGTCTGGTTCGCCGGAGCATCACCGTGTCCCCTCTTCGGACGGCGACAGCCACTACCAACGTGCAAACATTATCGCCAGAGCTCAGTCACTGTCTTATCAGAGCAACGGCAGCACAAAAGGGCGCCTTTCCAAAAAAAAAAAAGTATTCGCAACAAAACATGTGGGCTCCATCCCTCCATATATATTACACCTGATATAAAACAATGTAATTATGAAATCCGTGATGGTCAAATAAATTCAAGTTTGACCAAATTCTATAACTAATCTAGTACTTATTTTGTATCACCCTTTTATATAACTTTAGTCAAAATTCAAACTGTTTGACTCCTCGATAAACGAGAATTGAGTTCTTCCGTGGACGAAAGGAGTACTAGAATTTTATAAATATAGTTACTTTACTTAGCAAAAATAATATTCTTAAAAATGATTAACATAATTTATTGATGTTTTCATCACTTTCATTTCTTATCCATATTCATAAATATATATTTCAAATTCTAAACTGCATTTGGTTTTAGATACTTTTGGTTTGATGTGGTTCAGACAACAATAATTTAACATATAATTGATGTGGTTCAAACAATAATAACTTAACATAGATAGAAGATTACACATGGATAACACAATACAGATAAAGAGATAGCCATTTTTACCCATTTTTAGAGATACAAATGTCAATATTATTTTACCCTCAGTTTTGGGTTCTTTTACGGCCCAGTTTCGAGTTGTTGGGTTTCTTCACCCAAGTTTAAGGTCTGCCAACTCATTTTTTTTTTTTGAATCACTGCCAACTCAATTTCTCCAAATACATTAGCGACTCTTTTGCACATTTCGTGAGAAACACTTGTCTCGCTAAAATCTTATGGTTTTTAGTAGACTAGTAGTTGGTGTTCCTTAACCAAGTTGTTCCTGTTTATTCTCAAAATAATGTTCTGTTTTAGCAAGCATGGGAACGCAGGTGCCGTGCAAACGACACAGACCGTCTCCTTTTCAACGCTTCCAAGGTCATCATTGATAATGGCAACAGGGCGCACTTCTGGAAGCACAGCTGGTTAAATGGGGAGGCACCCAGGTATTTGGCGTCCAACCTATTCAAGCTTGTGCGCCGAAAGAACAGGATGGTTCGCCAGGAATTGCAAAACGGTAATTGGATCGGGTCATTGCGAACGCGCATCACAACAACCACACAAATCCAGGAGTTTGTCAGTTTATGGATCAGATTACAAGGTGTGCAGCTACAATCCGATGTACAAGACACGATTACCTGAAAATGGACGCCCGATGGCAACTACTCCACCCGCTCAGAGGATATAGTTCCGTGGTTCACGCCGGAAATTCTAACATGAACTCATCTGGAAGGCACGAGCGGAAAATAAGTGCAAAATTCACACCTGGATCCTCCTCCACAACAAAATTCTAACAGCCGATAATCTTCAAAAGAGAGACTGACCACACCAAGACCGTTGTGTATTGTGTAATGGTCCTTCGGAAACAGGTTTGCATCTATCCTTGCTATGTCCCTTCGCAAAGGCCGTGTGGGAGCAGGTGTTGTCGGGAAAGCAGGTGTTGTCGGGAAAAAATTTCGGTGCAATGACCACAGCAGGACCCAGCATCATTAGCCGATTGGTGGGAGCTTGAGGCAGGAAGGGTGCCGAAGCAAGACCGCAGGCGCTTCAACGGAGTAGTGATTTATATCATGTGGAATCTACGGAAGGAGAGAAATAGGAGAATCTTCGAAAACACGTTCAAGCCGGCGTGGCATGTCGCCTCCTTGACCAAAGAGGACATAGTGCAAAGACTAAGGGCTATGAATTTTTGTGTGCAGCCAAACTAGCACTGAGGAAGGTGCTTTATCTGTTTGGTCCTATGACCAGTGTGTTTGGCACCTAGGTGCCGTTGTGCACAAACCTCTTTTTCTCTACTTAATTGAGTGGCAGAACTCCTGCCTTTTTCTTCAAAAATAATATGTATATTTTTCTGACACGTCTTAACAAGAGTGTGCTGATATTTATATTTTTCGTCAAACACAGACCTGGGTTCTTCCCAGATACTAACAAAAAGGCAATGGTATTTGTGCAACACGCGAACTACAAAGAATCAACAAATTTCCGTTTGTAAAACTATGCTTGTATCTGTTTTTCCAATAGCTTGACGGCAAAAATGTTTCCACAGAAAATTACATAACATATGTACTGGAAAAGAATCAGCCATTCGTAGAATCCACTTATGCCTTTGGTGATGTATATATGATCAGGCAACTTCCGTCCTCTTGGACATCCAACAGTGGAGCACAGTTAGCTCACTCAGTTGAAGGGTTGAACAAACGACCTGGCATAGTTTTATCCAACAGTGGAGCACAGTTTTCCCCCTCTTCCTTCTACTTTGCTTCATTTTGTTTCAGTTGCATCACTTGACTCCTCAAGCTGGACTCCCTCATCTATGCAATTGGAATTTGTCATCGCATCAGTTGGATATTTTGTGGCAAAGTCATATGCCAGCCAGGGAAAGTGGTATATGCTGACTCAAGTGAGATGATCATCAATTTAGATCCATACCTGCAGGTTCTGTGCTTGGTATAGGAGATTACCGCACTCCTCTATCAAGGTTCTCTCAGTAGCGATAACCTGGGCCAGATTAGAGGCCACATCGTCGATTTGTTCAACCTACATGGCAATATAAATTTTCTTGTTGCATAAATAAGTATTTACATGACAGGATATTTTTTGTTGCATAATAAATAAGTACAACAAATCAAATGAGAACACCATATTCACCACAACACTGAATCTATCTAAAACTTTGCAAATTTCTAAACACAAAACTTCATCAATATTAGTTAAGGCAAGAAGCGATGATAGGTATATGAATTAAAAAGGAACACTACTACACTAGGAACTAAGTTTCTATTTCATTAAATTTGCAATTTTATTCACCCTATCTGATTTTGAGTTATAGCTTAGAAATTGCAAATCATATGGTGGTAGGTTGAAAGGTTTAAATATTCTCACTATATTTCATCTAAAACTATATATCTGGTACAATGAATTTACGGATATATTTAATGATTTTAGTTATTGAACATGTCCCAGAAGCATCTAAAGAAAGCTAGGCATCACACTGTTTTGGTATATATGTTTTTCAAAAATCCCTGTAGTCTCACCTTTGGTAGGAAATTTTCGATGCAAGGTGAAAGCGGTTCAAGTAGTTGTGCTGCTGACTTGAGGACTTCTGTAAGTTCCTCGCAGTTGGCCTGCAAGCATATCAAACAACATGATATTTGGCCTTATGCACATAATGACAGAACTGATGTCTAATGAAGTATTGAAGTCTTACATTTACACTCCCAATGATTGGTAGCCGTAACGAGGCGTTAGACAGTGCTGTTGTTGCCCCTCTAAGGCAGCTTGCATGACTCCCCTCAATCTCACCCCACTGAATCAAATATGGCACCTGAAAGTTTCACATCTCTCTTTTAGAGTTAATCAAATACGAGACCTGAAAGTTTCACATCTCTGTTCTAGCGTAACGTAACAGAAAGGTGTTATATGTAAAATTCATATTGACCATATATATATTATATACCTATCATAAGCAAATAAATATAAACCAAAGCATGATAACCACTTTGGTACAAAGAATCTCAAGTGTCACAATACACATAAGCTTTCAAGAGCTTCACCTATATATTTTGTATATTCTATACAGAAAATCAAACAAGGAGAGTAACACACAAATCATGTAATATATTTTCTATTTTCTTTTGAAAAAGAAGAAATACTAACTAAATGAGGCAACTGTTTAGTTCTGAATACTAAACGCTATTCTGTTACATGTAAAATTCACATTGACAATATATACATGCTTTTTACCATATATCCCACTAAACAAATATAAATCAAAGCATGGTACCCGATTCGATACAAATAAACTCAGACTATCAAAATATACATGGCTTTCAAGAGCTTCACCTATTTTGTCTATTTTATACAGACAACAAAAAGAAAAAGGAGAGTACCACACAAACTGTAATACATTTTCCTCTTTTTTTTTTGAAAAACAAACTTCGGAATGGGAAAACTGGATTTAATTCTGGACACTTAACCCTATTCTGGATTTAAATAATGTTGTTCTACTTCTGAATTCAGTTGATATAGTAGTCAAACATATCCATTTAGTGACATTCCTCAAAGTCTCCACTTTTTTGGTTTAAGTGAAGAGCGAGGTTCCCACATCAGTGTCTAACTCTCTTCACATGAAACGGACACCCAACATCCCCTATAATTTATCTGATTGAAGAATTTAGGTAGCTTAGATTCAACAATCAAGCAATTTGGTTAGCACCTATTATGAAGAAATGCACACTGAACACAGCAGCAATTCAAAATTCAGAAAATCCCAGCTTCGCCTTACCTGCGCATTTACTACTGAACTCAATGTATGCTCCCTTTTCATCCTCTCCATCTCTGCCCTCTTCTCAGCAACAGATACCCTGAGGCTGGCAATCCTCTCTTCGAGCCCGCACAAGGATTTCTTTGCACCCAACAAAAAAAAAAAAAACAAATCGTCGTCAGCACCTTAATCAACCAGAACAAGATAGCCACCCCCGTGACGGCTGGCCCGATGCATTAACATCCCCTCACCTCTGCAGCCGCCGCCTTGGCCTTGCCTGCTGCCTCAGCCCGGGCGTTGAGGAACCTGTACAGGAGGTACGAATTGTCCATCAGCCGCAGCTGGTGCACGTCTTCCTGCTTCCCCGCGACCTTCCTGCCCCCCACGATGGCCGCCCTCTTCAGATCAGCTGCCTTCGGCCCTTGCGGCTGTGGTGGCCTCCCTGCCGCCGTCAGCTTACCAGTCATCGCCGTTGAGATCGACAGTGCCGAGTTGAGCGAGCGGTAGCACAGTGGGTTGGACGTCCGCGAGGACCCGCCCGACTCCGGCACCGACGAGCGGAGCTCTGACGAGAGGCGCCCCCCACGGCAGGACGCTGGGCCCAGCAGCGGCGGGCTCTCGCACGACAAGGCTGGGGCCATCCCGAGCGCCCGATCGGCCTCAGACAAGTCAGTGGCCGTGGACGACGTATCAGACGAAGAGCAGCAAGAGGCGGTGTCGGATTCCACCGCAGCGGAGGCTGGGCAGGAGCCAGCACGCGCGGGCGTGGGAAGGCGCGGGTACCCCCTCCGCGCGGTGGGCGCGGCCGGCCCGCTGGTGGAGCGCGGGAGCTGCCGCGGAGTAGCTGCGGACACGGCGGAGGAGTTGGAGCCCACCGAGGCGCGCAGATTGCCGGCCCCGGTTTCCTCGAAAAGCTTCTGGACAGCACGCCGGCGCGCGACGGTGCCCGTGGGCGGCGGCGGCGGGGGCGGGTGGTTCTCGTTGGCGAAGGGCGTGGCCGCCCGCTGCCGTCCACGAGGCGACGGCGTCGGGGAGCGCGACCGCGTGGAGGAGGCCGCGGAGGCGGTAGAGAGGCGCGGGGTCGAGGGGACTGGCGTTGAGAGGTACCGGGAGCTGACTTCCCTTGCTCGGCGGCGCGGACGGGGCGCAGTCGGCGGCGGGACGGGCGGAGGGGGCGGCGGCGGCGGCATCAGGTCCGCGCTCTGCGACGGCGGGGCTGTGGCGGCGGCCATGCCGGAGAGATCGGAGCGGAGCGGAGAAGGGGGTGTGGCCGTCGAGGGGAAGCGGCCAAGCGGGATGGATTTTCGGGAGAGACGGGTACAACGGCTAGTTTCGTGGAAGCGGGTTTAATTGCGGCCGCCGGCCGGCGAGGAGGGGCTTAACGGTATGCACGGGAAATGTGGAAGGACCGAATCTCTGTTGTTAGCTTTGTTTTCCAAATCATGGCCCATAAAAGCCCAAACATAGCTTTACTTTGGGCCGGATTGCAGTCCGGCGCGGAAGGCGTCAGGTTAATGGGCTGAGAGCAACTCCAGCATAACCCCGATTTCCGATTTAGGTGCTGGCTCTCTATTTTGTATTTGTTCCCGCAAAGCCCCTAAACCAAAGCCTCTAAATTCTCTTAGTAGATACTGACCATTGGGACTCACTTGACATTTTCAAGCTTTCACCACGAGGGCCGCACGGACTCCTAAATTGGGGGCTCCATTAGGGGCAGACCTAAGTTTTTGGCCTAGGCACTTATATTTAGCTACGTGGCTCAAGTAAGAGCCTGCATATAGGGTTTCTTTGTTATGTAAATTTACCTGAAAAAAAAACTGCACGGCGTTTTTCTTACAGTACACGAGTACAGTCGAGCACAGTAGGCTCTGACAGCTAAAAGCACTCGAAACTTTATCATTTTTCGTTTTTGTATAGTTCACCAACGACATAATCACAGTTGCGTTACATTACATTTATTCAGACATATTGATCGAAAAAAAACATTTATTCAGACATGAAAGAGACAACAAAGTTACTGTAGTTACAAGTTGGGGTAAGATGAACTGATTCAGGCCAACGAGACCTTGTTACTCTGCCCTTTCCTCTCGCAGCTCGTTATTACTGGGAATTTGTAGCTGACAAAGCTTGGTCAGCTAATCAGTTTCCTCTTGCAGTGCGTCTTTTACACGAATTGGCACCTTATTTGTTTTTTATTATCTGTCAGAAACCAAACTATATTCTTGGAAGCATGTTAGAGACCATGCATGGCCAACCCTTCCTTCATCAGCGAGGTCAAAACCTCAATCAGGTATTCTGATGCTTTTGGTCATCCTCATAGTCGACAGGTTGTGCGCTATGTCCTAGCAAACTCGCATAAGACCAAATCATTAATATTGTGGTTCATTCCCTTGACACCCTTGTCTTTCAACCAGGTGCTTACATGCTCTCTAAGAAAAATCAGCTGATTGATTAAGACACATCTTCAGTAGAGGTTTTCACGTTTTTACGCTGGTAACGGGGGAAAAGCATTCGCCTGATCTTCTTTTCAGCTGAACGTTCAGAGAGCGCCTGAAACCAAAGTTTACGAAGAATTGTTTTAGCTTCCATTAAAAGAAACGAGGTAATTTTAAAAGTTTATGAAGCCCAATAACTAACCTGTGCATTGAATGAAAATCGAACGGTCCTAGCTTCCAAGCCACAAAAGGCTCTTACATCAATACCAAGGCTGTCAACACCAATCAAGCTTGCCTCCTACAGAACATATCAGATTGCAAACAAAGCTTATGCTAAAGGAGTGCTTGTCCTATTGGCAATGCAACAGTGAGAACATCATGCTTAATTAGGGTAAAGAGCATTTTTCAACCTCCAAGATAACATTTTTAGAAAAAAAATTTTGGTACTAGGTTCATATTTTTCTGATTTAAAATAAATTAGTTATGAATTTTTAGAGATTGATCCAGATTTTTATTATTTTTAGAAAATAGAAAACTACCTTTGAAACCAGGAAGAGGACCAAATTTGTCTAGTTTTGACAGTCGAAGGGTGTTTGGTACTCGATTTCATAGTTCAAGATTGAAAATCGAGCTACCACCAAAGTTGGTGGTTGAAAAATGGACTATACCCTTTTCACAGTGAAATACTGAATTTGGACATATGGTTAAAATAAGAGCATTCCATGAATAGGAATGATAATTTGAGATTGTGAACATGAAAATAACTCATCAGTGGTAACAAACACACCTCGACAGTAAGGCCCTTTTTCCTGCGACAGAGCGACCTGAGAGCCATTGCACATTGGTCACTGTTTTCTTTGATCCGTTCTATAATCGCTGAAGCAGAATTTGCAAGAATATCTGGTTCTGAATCTTGAAAATCTTGTGGATCAATCATAAACTGCAGTGATCCACAGAATATATGAAACTGTAATGGCCACAATACTGAGAACAAGTAGTCATATGATATACTTACCTGCTTGCCATACATGGAAAACAGTTCAATTGTCATTATCTCCAGCTTGTAGATCATTGAATCAGTACTAGTTTCAGCATCATTGAAGTCAAATCTTGATTTATCACCATCTGAATATTTGCTTAATACTAGTCAAATAAAAATTGGAGTAAAGTGGATAGCTGACGTGCAAGATTTCAACCAACTAAATTACCAATGAGGCGATTGGTTCCAGAAACTGGCCGAGTTTCTCTTTTGTATTCATCTGTTTCATTTACTACATCCAAAATGGCATTGGATTGACGAATAAGATTTGAGAGAAGGAAAGAAGCGTCTTCTTATCCAATTTTGCTATGGGAGTACCTTTCCGGTCAGATGAATAACCATCACTGTTGCATTCACCATGAAACAAGCTCCTCAAGTAAGATTCTTCCTCTATGAAAGCAGGTCTCAGATATCCTACAATAGAGAGACCATTTGATGGACTATCCATCTTCTCCCCATTATTATTATGAATGGCCTGTATAGTAAAAGAGCAGCTAACGTGATTGCCTAGTTCTCTGCAACTCGAGTGATTTGATGAGAGACACATTTAGGGCTGTGCTCTTGTGACCACTCATGCTATGAGACATGCTTTGGTGAAGCTTTTACTCTACAACAAACCGGCACATGAAAGTTCAGACAAATAAAAAAAGTGCAGATTGACATATATATAAAAGCCACAATGTTCTTTAAATATATTCCATTTTTAGCAGAATTTTTATCCAATACTAATTGATGAGAAAAGGGATACTCAGAGCAAGACATCAAACTGCTGCCGCTCTTTCTTTTGTTTTACTGACATTTGTTGTCCCTGCTGAAAGATACCATATTCTGAAGCTAACGAGAGACAATCTTGATTTTCTAACTTTGCTTTTTTTTTCAGAACTTGATATGTGGCAACCCAAGTGGTCTGGAGTCTGCAATCTAAAGTGCATTCAAATCGTGCATGATGTAATGAGAATTCAACGAATCGTTAATAGCATCTTTATCAGCTTGACCATTTTCACTATTTCAAGGGCTGCTGGTTTGTGGTGTCTGCACTCTTCAATAACTATTTATCACTTACCTTTGTCAAACATTTGGCAAAGTAAATTGGATGTATTGCACGCATTGTTGCAGGCATCCCCCACTCTATGAGAATATCAGTTATTTCTGTATCAATCTGGGGACATTTCACAAAGGAAACATCAATAATGATAGTGCTTCTTGCTAATTACAAAAATGACCCATAGCACCTGCTGAAAGCAGGAAAGATAACTTGTTAGCAAACCTTGGTGTGGTGCTCATCAGGAACGTCCATTAAATTTTCACCATCCATGTAATCACTAAAATCAGTAATCGCCACACTACTTTCTCCAATAATGGGTCCGTCCATTCCAATCAAAACTGTCTGCAATAGTGCAATTATTAAATCATCATTTCAAGCAAGTAAATCATCCATCCAAGCACTGGTGCACATTTTTTTTAATTCAGAATAACACCGTTTTATAGCATGTTGACTGCAGCACTAAACTTGCAAGCTGAAAAAACTCAACAAGGGCAACCCATTAACATCACATTACTGACCATAGAATGCATCTGCGCTAACCTACATAGATAGAGAAAAAAAGGGACAAATGATACTATATTGTGAACATTGGCCCTTAAAGGAATAACTACCATGCAACATAAATACCAGATGATCCCTGGCAGATAGACTATGGAGTCTAGACTGCTATGAGTAGATGACTTTAACTTTTCGTAGAGAGAAGAATAATTTAAATTTTAGCCTTATTCATAATGGATACAAGGTCACTCATCAGGACTACCCAACTTGAGCCCTAAGGAATAATATGTGAGCTATGTAAACTTGTCCGTCTGTCTAGATAGAAAGTAAGAATATGTATCTAAAAAAAGCCAAAATAAACCTATAAATTGGAATGGATGGAGTACATATCCACCTACGAGGAAACTAAACCACTAACAAGGAAAGCAAATTATTATTATCTAGTTTTTAACTAGTATTGTGCTGGTGAGCACAGTAGCACATCTTACCACAGGATTGTTTGCAGTATCATCTTCCAAGATGTTCTCGCTGTCAGGTACTTCAAAGAAAATGTCTGTACATAAGTTACCAACAGGTTAGCTGCACAAGATGAGCACTGTGAAGGCTCTACTGTATATTTTTTTTCCTATGCATTAAGGCATTACCTCCATAGTCATCAACAACATATTGAAACTCTGACCAAGCAACATGTCCATGAGGTTCATTGTGTACCCTAGCAGGAAATACAAGCAACCCCTTGCTATTGGCCTAGACAAGATGGAAGATTGTAAACGTTACCTACGCCTGGAGGAATTTGTGCAAGTTTTTACAACATATATTTGGATTAGTTTGAGGAGCTCTATACTACAGGCCATAACCATACCTATGAAACATTAAATAGCTTGGTGCATAAGAAACACAAGTAGTATTTAGTTGCACCAGGTTACCATACCTCTACTGCTGTTCTAGCTGTTTCGACATCTGTCAGCAACAGGTCCTTCTTCTTTGGACGTTCTTTAACTTCTTCAAGAGGGTGATAACCCCGATCTCTCGTGTACTTTGAATCTGGCATTGAGTCTGAATAATCAGCAGCCACACGAACTTTGATTAGGGACGAGTCTTGATCAGTTGGCAGCCACCAGGGCTGAATTGATCCAAAAGGGTTTCGGCATCGGAAACTGCAAGAAATGGTTGCAGGTGTTAGTTTCAAAATGCAAGAAAGCCATTGAGAGGAACTGCTCACAATGAGAATTGGAAGGACCTTAAACTAGATTGGTCATGAAATCTCCGGGTGTCGAATGGGGTTTTAACCCAGTTTAAGGTGGCTCCTGCCGCCATTGTACACTACAGCAGAGGCCACGGAATGAGTTCTGCAAAAAGAATAACAGAATTGTTAGGCCCAAAAAAGAAAATGCTGATGGCACATGTACTTAGTAAATACTCGTTTCGAGGAATATGTACATAACATGGATGATTCCGCATGGATGGTATTTCTCTTGACACAATTTAAATATGCGTCTATTTACCAGATCAAAACAGAGGTTACTGGTATTCTCAAAGAAAATGCTACAGAAGAGGGTACCAAAACAAATGGTGACAAATCACAAAACAAAGGGTCAATTGCCTTTTCTGAAAAAAGAACAAATGGCTAATTCATCTAGCAAAGGGAGGAAGCATAGCAAATACTCCAACATTGAGCCCGGTGAACTATTGTGTTGATTATCAATCAAATACAGCGGATTAGAACACATAACATGGTAAAATGCATCCAGATGACCAGATGGAAGAAAATTTGGGTGTTCACGAACATCTTCCTTCAAAGAAGTTAGGCATATCACTATTTCCCTCAACTACAATTGTGCATATAAGGGGTGAAACAGGGAAAGAGATGCCCAGGACAGTGCCAAACATAATGAAGTTTTAGTCAGATGAACCGGAATAATCCATGAGGGAAACGAGACACTTGTGAATGTGCAAACTGCCACTTATACTCACGCTCGGCCTAATTCCTCAGCACCATGTATTAACTGTGGGACCCTGTGGATCAGAGCACTTTACCAACTGAAGCCGTTGCAATTAACAGAACACTGCAAACGCCACTTGTAACAAACTAGTAATACCAAAGCGATTCAACCAAATTCTCCAATCAATCAAGACTAGATGATCCAGTGAGCAATCACACACGAATTAGATGCTGCGGTGATCACGGAACAGGTCTCCTATGTTCTTCAAGCTAAGCATCAGTATGGACATTTAGAAGGAAACAGTAGACATCTCCGGGACGCCAATCCTCGTAGTCGCGGCAGTGATTCTAAGCGCAATCGAATTGGATACGGGGAAGGGCGAGGTCAGCGGCACTCACCGGCAAAACCAAGGCTGGCCACCTGAAACGACAGGGGAAAAGAAAACAGGGCCGCACCACCGCAGGATCAAGCGGAGCAGAACCGTGGCGTGCGGCGTGCGGCGTGCGGCGGCGAGAACGGCAACCTCCTGTCTCTGCCGCAGCCCGCAACACGGCGGAACACCCCAGGGGAGACGGATCACCGCGCAGACTAGGCTGGCGAGTTCTCTCTCCGTGTCCTGCGCTGCGCTGCGCCCGGTTTCCCCTCTTCCCCCTTTGGGAGTTGGGGCCGACGAGAGACTAGCCGCCAGCCCAGTAGACAGTAGTGAAGGGCCCTTTTGGTAATTTTGCGCCTCCTGGCTCCTGCACGCACTGCGCTCCTGAGCTGCAGATTCTTCTCTCAAATTTTGTTTTATTTTTAAAAAAATATATTGAATATAAGGGGAAGATGTTGTAATTAACATGAACATAACACATGGTTTGGCTTAATCATGCCCAACACACGAGCACATCATTTTTGGGGTTTTCCTTCCCGTACCGTGTGACGGTATGAGCGTACTAGCCCTAGGGTAAGCACCCTATTCTATTCGATAGTATCAGCCATACTTATCAATTATAATATAGTATTTTTTTTTTACAATAAAACAACATCGATTTATAAGCCATAGAAACGAAAGCAAACAGGGTGAGGGTGAAGGTTATTCTTTGGAGTTGGTGAAGTTGGATCTCGAGGTAAAGGTTATTCTTTGGAGTTGGTGAAGTTGGATCTCGAGGTAAATTCTGCATTTATTATTGGTCGTTGGTCTGGTCCCATATGTACAACCAAGAAAATGATGATGATGGTTGCAGTTCGCTTCCTACTTTGAATGATAACACGTGCAGTGACCACTGTACGTGAGCCGTAGACGTGGTAGAGAACTGCAATGCACTCCGTATATACGGCTAAAGATGTTGCTATTTACTCCGTACAGGATACTACTAGCATTCATTGCTGATTGCTCCTCCTCTGAATAGCATTGCCAGTCTCTCTGACGATTTGGGCAGCATAGCAATATTGGGATTTGGGAAACGTCGCTGGCTGCCGTCAGCAGATGAAAAGGACTGGAGACGTATGGATAGCATTTGAGCGAGGGAGAAGACAAGAGATGAGGAGTAGCGCTCGTACCTGAGACCTGACTGGCAGTTTGGATTGGATTGGAACAAATTTGGATGGTCGTCTGCGTGCACAGGCAGGGAATATCTCACCCATATTCCGTTGGCATCAAAAAAAGGTTCCGCAGGGCCTGCGAGCAACGCCGACCGCAGCCTCATGATCGGCTTCGGCTCACGAAAAACAGACGACATGTTTCTGTTTGTTTTCACCCAGTTTTGGTTCGTCCGCTTGCCGTGTCAGTCGTCACTTTGGACCCTTTTCTGGAGAGCGATGGCCGAGCACTCGGAGCCTCTGCATACCTCTCCTACTCGCTGAGGTAAAGACAACAACACTCTGACCGATGGCACGACAGTTTTTACATGGGGCTCTACAGGTCCATGCGCTGCGTTACGATTTCCAAGTCCTGACGCCTGAGACGCATGGAGTTTTTTTTTTCTTCAGAGTTCGGATAACATGTTTTTGGTGCCGGTACACCTGAAGTCCTGAACCGCCGAGGATGAGAATCGTCCACATGAAGAATGGTGCGACGGATCGTGTCTCCATGAGTCCATGTGCTGGATATGGAGAGGTGCCGCATTGATCGGTGTGCTGCACACTTTTTTTTTGTTGAAAGTTTCGTGTGCTGCTGCACACTTGACCATCGAAGTTCGATACAGAGAGCTGTTTTTTCCTTCTCTGTTCTCTCGCGCGAAAAAGAAGAAGATGAAACGATTTTAGTGTGTTGAAGCTTTTCGTGATTCGTGAAGATTGTGTTGCCTGTCTGGTGTGTGCCCAGGGGTTGCTGATCTACAACGATTTTTATTTTATTTTATTTTTGCTGGCGGGTAAATAATGTCAGTCATTTTTAATCTTCTCGTACAGAGGAGATATCTCTTCTGGATTCTGAACCTCGTTTAGATGCCACAGTATAAACCAAAAACAAAGTGAATTATCGGATTAAAAAAGAGAGGAACAAGTGAATTCTGAATTTCTGATTCGTTCCATTTTCTTGACAACTGACAAGTAAGGGCATAAGCAAGAAGTCTTTTTTTTTTTAGCCGCAACGAGTACACACCATATGTTGGATTGATAGAGTTATTAAGAAATCTCATTTAACTTATGATTACATTGCTGAAATAGCTATAGGCAAGAAATGAAAGCTGCAACAACTCTAGATAATGCAATGGACAAACTCTACATATAGAGTACTGATGGAAGATGAAGGCTCCAGCTATGACACTCCTTCCTCTTGAGAATCAACATGGGCATCAAGCTTGTTTCGTTTATTTGCTCGTGCCTGGTCCTGAAAGGCAACCAGAGTCATATGGTTAACATGGCATACGACCGCACCTTGAGAATAATTTTTTTTGCTTTCTTTATTGTATTGTGTATTTTGAGTTTGCAAAAGTCATGTAGAATGTTCAAACTTGACAAAACCGTGATTTAATTTTTGAAGACAACGCACGATATCATCTATGTAAAGTTTCAGATGGTGTATTTGACTACAAAAGGAAACTTACACTTAAATAGCGCCAGTGCTGATGCTCAAGATAGCTGATTCGTTGGCGGTGGGGATTGGTAGGAGTGCAGAGGTGGCATAGTCGATGGCATGACATCCTTGGGAGGTGGTGGGTGTTGTACTGGTAAAGAGGTTGTGGAGATGCTGGTGGAGATTTTGCATGGGGAACATTTGGATGTAGATGTTTTGGAGCATTTGGAGGTAATGGTGGGGAATACTGGGCAGGTGGCGGTGAAGATTGATAGTTATATGGAGGTGGTGAATACTGGTATGTAGGTGGAGAGTTATAGTGGTATGGAGCCGCTGGTGATGATGGTACAAGTGGTGACTTCTGGATGTATGGAGGTGGGGGGTACTGGTAAGCTAGTGGTGGAGGCACATAGTTGTATTGGTGTTGTGGTGGTGGAGAGTTGTAGTAGTATGGTGGTGGTAAATACTTGTGGGGTTGTACTGGAGACTTGGTGCCTTGTGGAGGTGGTGGAGTTTGGTAGCTATTCGGAAGCATGGACTGTTGGTAAGGTGGTGGCGAAATGTAGTAGTTTTGTGGAGGTGATGGGTACTGGTATGCTGGGGGTGGAAGCTGGTTAGCAGGTGGTGGTGAATATTGATAATGCAATGGTGGAGACTTGTGGGTAGCCGGAGGCGAGGGATACTGGTAAGGGAGTGGTGGGGAACTGTAGGGATGCATTGGTGGTTGCGTCTGTGGTTTCGAACAGCCAAATGTATTCTTTGATGCAAATGCCATTATCTGGTTTGCTTTAAAAACCAGCTCCTCGCTTGATTTGGAGTAAACACTGAGCCCAGACAAATTTAACTCAATTGGCACATTGCAGTCTGATCCTCCTGGTGCTCCATGGAGCTCAACCTTACACGAGTCAGCCCCATAGTTGTTGCTAATTGGCAAGCCCTTAAGGATCACACTGTATTTGCCATTGCTTCTGGTGTAGCCAAATGCCACTAGTGCTTGGTCATTTGCCTGACAAGTGACCTTGACCATGGCTCCTGCGTCCAGATCATTGTAAACAGATAAATATGAAACACAGAAGGACATTTAGGGATAGTATGCTAAAGGTCAGCATTGATGTTTAAGGAAGATTACTACGAGCAAACAGGGGCATTGATATTTTTCCAAGCTGACTGCATTAGCATGATGAGATCATAAGAACAGGGGTAGGCACAAAATTTCACCTTCCAGGTGCTTCTTCCCATGTGATTCGTCTGGGTATGCCTCATTGAAGCATCTGTAGCAGTACACCTTCCCAATCACCTTAATAACAGGATCATATGTTGGTGATATGGAAAGAGAAGGTGGTGCAAAGTTGCCCGCTCCCTCGATGTGCATTGCAGAAGTGACGAACAACATGGTGAAGACCAGCCATAGGTGACCCTTTGGCTGGCCTGTCATGCTCATTTTCATAGCTGGATAGTGCTTTGCCAAGTGAGAGCAGGAGAGGATGTGGATGGTTTTGGCTTTAGATGTGGATGGCTATTTATAGTTGCCATGGTTGCAAGGTTTGAGGGATCGAGAGCAGGTAGGGGATGGAGTGAAGTGGGTCAACATTATCCTGTTCTAGTTGCTTGTAAATTTGCACTGTATATTGCATACCAAATCCATGCCTATGTTTTTTTTTCACTGCTGTGCATGTTTCCGTCAAGAAAAAAAAACTGACAGGATTTAGAAGAAACATGCTATGGCAGGCCATCATATGAAAATGAATTTGGTCAGGATGTCCTAGTCATCTTGTTGTACCCCCAGAACTCACTGAAAGTGTGTTGCGGTGTCATTTCTTCAGGCACCTATTTTTTCCGTTTTAAATGTTGGTACTAGCGTAATTAAACAGAAGTACAGGAGCTAGGAGAACATATACTGTGTGCCTGCTGCGTTACAAGTGCTCTTCTTCTCGGAGCAAATTTTCTTTGGTCATCTAGCTACTCAATTCCAGCAGTTTCAGTTATTGAACATGTAAATGTTTGATATTCAGCATTTGTAGCTGGGAACACAAAAAGGTTACTAGAGATGGAGCTAAACTGCTTCACTTTTTCATCCCTGTCAAAGGTCTGCATGGAGCATGGTGTGTGTAGCTTCAACTGCTCTGCTCAAACACATAGCCCACTGACCACAGGATAGGGGCTAATCTCAAGTCAAAAGGGTGCCGCTGACGCTCTTGGTCAGCTCGAATGGTTCAGGCTAACAAATCTGTCCTGCTCCATCTCCGTGCAAGAGTAGGTTTAACTAACAAATGATTGTTTACTTGCTCGTTTGTTTCATTTGCATGCTCTTTATTTAATCTGTCCTCTGGTTTCGCGACAGAACAAAGAAATCAGCTGAAATATGGTGGTGACTTTTTTTGGTGCCCAAAAGAAAGGAAGTGCACCTGGTTTGGTCGGTGGGAGCCAAAGTCAATTCAGGCGAACAGGTTGGGCCCAATCTGCACAATGCATTAAACTGGGCCCATAAAAAATTCTATCCTAAAGGAGAGAGAACTGAGCCCAAAAACAATCGGAGAGTATGAAGGACGACGGACGATGGACGATGAACAGAAAGGGAAACAGAAAAGGCAAATGAAATAATGAAAGAACTTTTGCTTGATTTCCCTGCTTCAATTTGATCATTTGAATGGAAATGCTAGACCATTAAGATGCCACATCAGTTTTCACCTCATGTCAGGTCATCCACCCTAGCTACCATTTACAAGCAGGCTTGCTGGTTCCATTTTCTACCCATCTAATTTAATATTGCTTGGTTAATACAACTACTTGGTAAACATCTTCTGAGCCTGAACCCCAAAATGTCAGCAAGTGAAGGTATCGTCATGGAGAAACCCCCATGGCACTCTTCACAAACCATCACCCACCCTTCAGAAGAAACCCTAGCTTTCCTTCCAGCTACAAATTAAGAACTTAAGCATATGACAAATAACAACTTACTGGTCACCTCCATCAGGAACCCTAAGTGTTACTTATGTCAGTGTACGTTTTTCGACGGGTCGGAGCCAGGCCGGCATACGTCGCTTAAGTGTCGTTCCAGACACTGAAGAGCTGCGCGCCGCCATGCCCGACGTCGACCATGTTGTCGTTGCTGCTTGCCGCCGCCGCCACAGGTGGTGCTGAGACAGTCGCCCAGGCCGCAGACATCCTCCCGCCACCATAGTTCTCCGCGTTCACCAGGTAGCTCTCGTACCCCATCTGTGCAGCCTGCTTGGCTTCGCCGTTGTCCCCCTGTGCTCGTGCATGCACCTGCTCGTGGCTCACCATTGCCGTGGTGGTCGTCGCAGCGGCAGCGCTCATCGGCATCATGTAGCCACCGCCGCCGACGACGGTGCTGCCGTTGCTATCACCAACCCCGTTGTAGACGACGGAGTTGGAGCCGGTGCTGTGCTCGAGTGATGCATTGTCCATGCTACCCAGGCCGTGCATCGCAGCCACCTGCCCCGCCGAGAAGAAGTCGTGCGCGCCGGCGGCGACACCAAGGTTCAGGTGGTGGAGCTCCTGCAGGCTGTGCGCCGCCGCGATCACCGCGTTGTCCTGCTCCTGCTTGCACCACCCACGCATCGGCTGCGCGTACGGGTGGTACAGGCCCGTGGCCGCGGTCGGCTGGAACGCGATGGTGGGCCAGGCGCCATGGTAGTGCGCGCCGTACGCAGCCGCCAGGGCGCCGCCGTCGCCGAGCTGCGACGCAATGCGGCCGACGTCGTAGCTCACCACGCCCGCATGATGCTGCGCGGACGCGGCGGCCTCGGCCTCCTTGAGGCGCTTGGCGGCGCTGCCGATGGGGAGCGCACTGCTGTCCAGGATGCTCTTCACGTCGTAGCGGCTCATGTCAAAGTTGGTAACGGCGTTGAGGCCGCGGAACTTGATCGCCGCAATGTCGTATGCCTCCGCTGCCTCCTCCTGCGTGCCTGCATCCACACAAGGTTGCACACTCGGCTCAGCTCAAATATCCCAAGCACGAACATGGTGCATGCATGGTGGTATCCTGGTATATGCATGCATGCATGAACAAGTTGTAGCTTAATGGGTAGAATCTTTTGGATGCTGTAGCCTAATTAGTCTATTAGTAAATGCTGGAACTTGATTAGTCTGCTGCTGACAGTGCATGCTCGTTTGTTTCTTATTGAGGCATAGTACTATTTTGACCTGATGCACGGGTGAATGGGAGGCAACAATAGCACCAGACATGGGATCAGGTTTGAAAAAGCCACTTGAGGAGCATGCACTAAGTAATGTACTACTGCAATGCAACTTTGCTTGACTTGATGCAATGGTCACATTTTTAATAGTCATCATATATAACATCCATATGCAGCAGGTCTACAAATGTGTACTATCAGCTGTAACACTTGCTTCAATTCTCATTGCGTTGAGATTGTTAGTTGACAGTAATTTGCTTGTGTGTGGTGAATATATATACGGGAGTACTCTACATACAATGAAAAAAACATCTCTGATACTTACTGAAGGTGCCCAAGTAGAGATCCTTGTTCCCTGCAACTCGTCCAATCCGTGCTTGCCATCTTCCATGTTGGTGATGCCTATAATTACAGAGAGTTCAAGTAAAACACCAGTCACACATTTTCAATCCATACATGCATTATTTGCCTCCTCAATCTAACAAGTGTATGTGTGTTTGTTGACGCCATTATATGAATTCATACCTAGTCACTCCCCTGTAAATGGATGCGCCTCTGGAGAAACCACTGCTCTTCCTGCATTCATATACAGTGGTCTATAAGATCTAATTAATATGCAGTTGATCTTTCTCAAACTTTAACAATTAACAGAGTAGATGTTTATTCAGTAGAGTTGGCACTGATTAATCAATGCTGTTAGACCGACCTTCTCAGAGACGCTACAAACTCCTGCCTTGTCATGTGCTTCATATCTTCCAGCTCCTTTTCGTAGTTACTCACCTAGAAATACAAAAACAAATACCTTTAAGTACAATTCCAGCAATGTACATAATTAACAAAAAAATACAGAACCTTCACTCCAGATCACATTTAGCAATAATATGATCTTCAGTAAAGTAAAACTGCATTCTACATATACATACTGGAAAATTTGTTGTTGTTGTGGGACCCCAGTACTTAAGAGCAGCCAGATCATAAGCCCTAGCGGCTTTCTCCTCTTTATCATAGCCACCTATCAGTTGTACAAGATGGAAAAAAATAAGAGAGGTGATGAGAATACAGATGAAAAAGGATGGTTATAGGGGAAAACAAACTGAATTAAGTAGTTGGACCCAAATCAAGTGAAATCGCGTACCTAAATAGACTGTAGATTCAAGAGTTGATTTCAATGCCACAAATCATGATGACAAATCCAAAAATGATAATGCGAAGTAATGTCAGTTAATAATAACAACATTGATGAAAGTATAAACTTAATTATAGAAAAAAATATATATATATTTAAATACGGTGTATTGCAATATATTGGTACCTTGACGCCCCTTGCGAGTTTGTCCTTCCCTTCTGCAACTGTTGTCCCACAGATGTGCTTCATATCTCCCAGTCCATCTATGCCTAAAATAATTCAAAAGTGGTAGCCTTTTGTTAATTGTCTACTGCTATACCACAATCATGCTCAATACAATGGCACTCCTAATAATCAGCGAGATCATCAAAGGCTACACATTGCCTTACTCATTTGATTCAGAACTGTCTAGATGCAATCAAATCTATCATGATAGCTCCTTGCATTACTAATGGCTTTTCTAAATTTCATGATTACTTGATTCATTACAGATTTGTGCTAGTTTAGTTCTCTAACGAAGTGACGATTTATTTTATACCGGACCCTTACCTTGTCACGCCACGGTAAATCGACGTGCGCTGCCCGAACGTGTCCACCGTCTTCCTTGCCGTGTTGTCAGCCGACGCGCCGCTGCCACCCGTGTCCGTGCTCACGGCAACCAGGTCGCCGGCGCTGGCCGCAACACCGCTGCCACTGCTATCCTCCTTCGGGGCCGTGACGACGGCTCCACCCTGTGCCGACGACGTCGACACACTCTCGGGCGCCCGGACGCGCTCTCCAGCGAGAAGTGGCATGACAGCGGCGCCTTGCGTCGCCCCCGCCATGTTCATGGACAAAGAGAGCCCCTGCGCGCTCTCAGCCGCCGCCACCCTCGGCTGCATGGGAGCTGGTTGGCTCCGCAGCCAGTTCTTGATCATGGACAGCCCGATGCTGCCGCCACCATTAGCACTGGCAGCGCCAGCGCCACCATTAGCGGTGGCCGCGCTGAGCATGGCACCGCCGTCGTGGACGCCGGCCAAGGAGGCCACCATGACGGAGTCCGCGAAGTGGAGCGCGGAGCTGGTGGGTTGGTGGTACAGCTGGTGATGGTAGCCGGTGGTAGCACCTGAGCTCGCGTAGCAAGCTGTGCTGCTAGTGCTGGGAATCATGTTGCAGTTGGCCTTGTGATGCTGCTCGGAGAAGGAGATGCCGCCGAGGAAGTCCTCCAGCTTCGGCTCGGCGACGAGCGCCGAAAGCTCTGATCCCCTCATGCTCCAATCTGAAAGAACGACGACATTTCATGCTAGCTTCAATACGCATTCGGGCCACAAACTACAGATATATATGTTCGCTTATGTATGTACATATATCGATCGATAGACACATACCTTGGGGGATGTTGAAGCAGACATCGCCGGCGACGTCGTCGGTGGTGGCGGCGGAGATGAGGGTGGAGTCCGTCTGGGAGGGCGGCAGCTCCTGCGGGGAGAGGGAGAAAGCGAGCCAGTTGTTCACAGTAGCCATGGTTGATTATCTGAAAGAGCAGCGATTTATTTGCCCCTAATGGTTTCGACTTGTGTTTCTTCTTAGATTGATAGGGGGAAGTGCGGAGGAGATCAGGAAGCCATTTTGGACAGTGCAAAGGTTAGGGAAGAGAAGGGGAAGTCAAGCAGAGTGTTTTGAAGCATTAAGCAACAGTGCTGGTACCGGTAGATATTTATACAACTAGCACACTCCAGAAGATTAGTGGCACTACTATGTGATGGCGAGATACTCTACACTACTATATATATAATTTATATATAAATTGGATCGAGTATATGATATAAGTAGGGGAAGTTTCTTTGAGTAAGAAAAAATGGAGTACTGTATTTTAATAAAAAAAACATTGTAGTATGATTTAACTGAACAGAAACCACTTTTTTCTTCTGCTTTCTGGGGAAGTCTCCACTATACTTTGTCTCATTTTCCTCAAAACATGTCTAGATGTGTGCCTATATGAGTACCTGATGATGTATCTGCGCATGCATGTACATGTACTACTAAAGTCACGACCTTTTACTCGATAATAGTATACCTTGTCACTGTCATTTGACTGGAAACTTGCTCTTAAGAACGATTAAGATATTGAATCCTTCTTGGAAGAAAAAAAAAAGAAATGACTCAAGATCTAAGAGTTGTTCTATTTGTCTAGGATCTCCATGAGTAAGCAGATGTTCTGGTATGATTTTTTTTTTCAAATATATGAAGGATGCACATGCACGCACACGGGTACAGTACATGAGTGCTGGACATTTATGCACATCCAGTTGACATATGCATGGATACGCTTCTCCAACTAGTGGTATATAATTAAATTGTTCCGGCTATATGAGACAAAACACTGTTCAAGCCTGCTGAAATAAGCATATGAACAGTACCCTAAATCCATTCACAGTCACCTGCAGAAGCTGAATATCTGACATGTTTTTTTACAAAAAGCCCTAGGCTCGCATCACCTCTAACACAAACACACATTGCACAAACGGGTTAACATACATGCATGGGCAAGTAGTGATCATTCTAAGATAACTACTAGTACTACAATTATTATACCCTAAATATATTTCATTTATCAACAGTAGTAATTCTAAGATATACACAACCATTTCAAAATTCCACAGTAGTCATGATCACGATTTAGCTAAAACCAGAATTCCAACCCTAGCTATGGTAAAATGAATTAGTCTGTATCCAATTATATATGATACTATGATATATGAATGATTCTTTCAATGCAATCAATAGTCACACATACTCTCAATGGAGTACTGTAGGGGTGCACGACAATCCTTACCTGTCATGCATGCTTCAAAAAAAGAAATACTACTCTTTAATTTGCTTCAAAAGATGAAGGTCGACAGGCAGAAAAGATGAAAAGAAGAGGATCAAGTTCATGCATGGTGGACGGAGAGGACGTGCCACCTGCATACTAGAAGAGGACACGAACCCTTGTCTTCCGGCCATAGAAAAGCTTGGCGTTCCCAAGCAAGTCCATCTTCTAGCTTCAGACGCCGCGCATAGAGAAGTGAGCAAAAAACACCCTAAAAACCTCGCATAGGATCCTCCAGGGAGAATTGTTAACAAGTGTGCTCTCTCTCTCTCTCTCTCTCTCTCTCCTCTACGACAGGCTAGTACGGAAGAACTAATCCTTTTTTAATCTCTCTTTACGGGGGAAGGAGAAGTGGAGGTTAAGACAGGGCGTGTGTGTTTTTATCTCGGTAACTGCACCGCTGGCCTCCCCTCCTCCCCTGGCCTAAAACTTTGACCGTCAAAGCTAGAGAGGTCTACCTGGAGAGGGTTCAAACTAGTAGAGGACAAGTAACTACAGTTACCTGTTCATACTTACGCGGTAAAAGCTGGTTAATATCAGACTCATGAACTACTTTTAACCGGAGTTCACACAGTTCAGTTAATTAACCTAGCCTCACACAGTTCTAATTAACCGGAGTACCTCGGTAGTGTGTGAATGTCGACGATCTATATTCACCAGGCCAGTTGAGACTTGAGACTGCTGATAATATGGCCTTGTCAATAAGTGATGAAAAGTTACTCTGATAATCTATCAAAAAACATGGCGTCTTCATTTATATGGTTCCAGGCATATTTTTGAAAAAATACTTTCAAAATACCGTCTAGTTTCGGAAGCACACGAACACATAAAGATTTGCCTAATCTTTTTTTCACAATAGAATACTGGTATTGAATTATAAATATACATGGAAGAGATAATGCTTAAAACTATATGTGTCGGTGCAAAATGTGGCCGACAAGTAAATATTTATAGTTTTGGCGTGCGCTGTGATTGGATGTGGCCTAGCACGCGATGACATAGGATTTATACTGGTTCAGACAACGTGCCCTACATCTAGTTTCAGTCGGTCGGTGACTTTATTCCTGAGCCCAGGTGCTCGAAGTTTGCTGTGGGGTTACAAACGAGTAAGAAATGAGAATGGGGGTGTTAGAGGCCCGGTCGGACTCTGATCCGAGTGGAAGAGAGCGACGGATGCTCAAACGTGCGCTAAGTATTAGAGCGTATGCTCTGTATGTCCAAGCTTATCCGTTGTTAAGAGCGTGTAGACTGTGTCCTTTTAGGAGAGAGCACATCTCCTTTTATAGATGAAGAAGATGACCTTACAAGTCAAAGACGAAAAGGGAGAGAGTGTGTACGGGTGCTACCTAGTTTTCGCCCACGCCGTCGGGTACGGCATGCCATCGCCCGCCATACTATTTACGTCGACATCGCCACCTTACTGTTCATGGTTTGCTGTACCTGGTAGGCTGCACAGTGTTCGCTTGGGACGGCAAACGACGGCGCCCACAATACTGTTTGTGCTCTGACGCGTCTGGTAGACTGTATAGTGTCCGTCTAACATGGCCTGACGGCACCGTCCTACAGGTGCGCAGGACATGGCAGGGTACGGTCCTCGGTATTGTGGTTGATTTGAGAGCCTTACCTTATCTGCTCTGCCTGCTCCCCGGGCCCACACCGAGTAGGCATCCTGGTCAGTCGTTCCCAGTCGGCCCCGGCCATGTCGGTCGAGAAAGAGAGGCGAGCAAAGGTCCGGCATATCCTCGGTTGGAGGAACGGGGTCGGAGTCGGACTGTGGTCCCACCACGGCCAGTCCTTCCGGTCGGGACTCCGACCAGATCTCTTGCCCGAGAGGTGCCGGTCGGGGACCGGATCGTGGTATCGGCCTGTCATTGTGTATCTAGGCCGGACTAGACACGCGCTGTCGCTGCGCCGCCTGCTGGGCTAAGTATTGTAGGGAAGCGGGTCCATTGGGGACCCCGGGTTTATGAACCCGACAATATGTTTGAAACAGGTATTTGATACACTGTCATAGTCCAAAATTTCATAAAGTAGTGGTCAAAGTTATGAGTGTAATGAGTTGTCTCATTTTAAAATGTGTACATATTTAATGCTATAAATATTAATAGTTCTCTTTATAAACTTGATTGAAGTTAAAACATTTGACTTATTATAAAACTATAAAACCTTTTCAGTTATTCTGAAACAGAGAGGTATATAGTATATATGGTAATGGTACTGATGGAGTGCGAGAGAGAGAGAGAGAGAGATGGAGAGATTTTATGCCGCTTCTGACGTGCACACATTGATCTCAGTCCACCATCGCTGTCCAATCTTCTCTTGGAACGATAAAGTGCATGTGTGCGTCCATTGGCATGTGCACGCATGCTTTGTTTCTACTCAATGCAAGTCGATCGCTGGACGCTGGCTAGTATGGACAGTCACACGTGTGCGTCTTCTTGGATGTGCAATGCAATACTAGTAGATGCTAAGTCTGTCTCCTTCATGACTTTGGAGACATAAACCACGTGCTCGCCACTTTGTTCGATCTCACGTACGTCTTGCTAGTGTGGCATATGAACTTCCACGTACTATAAACCAACACAAAAGGTGAACAAATAGTGGAGGGTGGAAGAGCTTTGGAAAGTTTTTCTTGTTGTGTGCCCATATATCCAACAAGAATTTTCTTCAGGTGGTGGAGTATGGGTACGTGAAACGTAATTCTAAAGGAACCGTGGCGTCTAAGGAGTTGAATTATGGTCTGCTGGGTTCGTGACCATAACTTACCATGCTGCAAATTAGGTGTGTCACAATATTTTAAACGTGTGTTTGGTTGATTGTTGTAACTGTGCATGCGTGGCACGTCATACTTTCATAGCACGCTTTATCCCACACATCATAGACTTATTTTCTTGCCAAACTTTACCTCAACCGTGACTTCGATTTTGCTTGTCACATTTCCTATGACAGCCGCAATTAGCCTAAGGTAAGGCGTAGTAAAATTAGGCATGAACCAAACAGGCCCTAGCAGGTCACTTAGCTTAAAAACCAAGGCCACACAAATTTTAAAAATTAAACAATATCTATTTAGATGCACTAGGTTTTTAAAGTATTTTTAAAGTATTGTTATCTCTAACATAAAATAGCTTTGCACCTTAGATTCCAATCATATCAACTAACCTAACAAATTAGACTAAGAAGGTACAAAAGTATGAAATAAGTGAAAGCGGAAATGTAAATGTGTTATCGTATTTTACCTCCGACTTATAATTGATGTCACATGCAGTAGATCATAGGGGTAGCGCGTGGGAGATAGATTTAAGCTAGTTCCTACATGGGGTGTCCTATGTCTAGTGTATGTTGTTGCTTTTATTCCTTGTGTGCCATGTGATGGGATCGGTTGTGAATAAGGAATCACAAATGTGCGTCTATGGGTTGAGAATCTATTCAGATTACCGATTAGGGGATTGTTATCCCTCCTTATATAGTCCGGGGGCAAGTACTTTATGCATCTGAGTGCCTTAAGGTATCAAGTTCGAGTGCCCTTTATGTAGTTGTAGCTCATCGGGTTCGTGCAAAAGTGGACTCGGGTGGGCTATCCTCAAGGTGATCCGAAGAATCGGTTAGAGGGTGAATTTGAAGTCATTGTCATTTTCTGATCCCTAAGCGTGCG